TTTTTTTTTAATGTCATACACATTTTTGTACAGCTCCTTGGTGAAGTTTGTCTTTGCCTTTCCCTTCAACTTGAAATTATATGAAACAAATATTTCCAATATTCAGCCGAAGGAATTGATTCGAGTTGTGCTTCGCGATAAACGACTGGACAGAGATGGGTTGCAGCTAGTGTTCTATCTTCTGGCGGTGGCAACCGATCAAAGAAAGAATTTTTTAAAAATATTCTTCCATTCTAACCTAAACCAGCCGTTATTTTAGCCTCTCCCATGGAAGAAGAACGTCATCGCGAAGATTCACGACAAAGCGATGTTGGTGAATTCAAAAGCTATGAGAAGAAGAAAGATGCTCCGATTAGACAAAATACAGATGAGAGCGATATTATCAGAAGAAGAGAGTTAGTTTCAATTTTGTTGACTATCATATGATAATCTGAACCTATACAATTTAGAACTTTCGCATTTTCTAGTATTGAGGAAATGATGCGGGAAGGAAATTTTTCCTCTTCGTCGAGAAGGCGGTTTTCTAGTGGTGGTCATTTAAATGCAGCTGCAACGAATCTAAGTATCAGCAAGACAACGCACTTGGGTATTTACTTTGATTTTTTGCACACCAGAGTTATTACTGCTCAATGATATATCGATGGGATTCAGAAGCCGAGTCAATTTTGACTACAACGCGCTATGGGGAAGGTTTTATGAAAGGAGCAGAATCAGATGGCGATGTGCACAGAGTTGCTGTACAAGGCATAGCACCTAGGCGACATAGGAAACCAGATGAAGGTGAATTGATGGTCTATGAGAAATACATTTGACAGTACTTGCTTAGTATTGTACTTCTTAACATAAACACTTGAGGAGTATTATTTTCAAATACTATTCTCCTTAAAGACGATCTTTGAGAAAAAATTTCTGAATTTAGATGGTACGATACCCGGCGAGCATGTGACCTATGTACATTTTCTCAGCGGTCGACAAAGGATTTTACAAAAAGAAGTAGAAGATGCGGTTTCTCAGTACAACGTTCAGTTAGCTGAATGCGTGAAAGAAGCTGAGTTTCTGTGTAGAAGAGCTAGCATGTGGAAGCAGGTACTTGCGAAATTCTCTCTGAGGGTGGGCTTACAGTAAATAAGAGATTTAGGTGCTATTGCGTAAACATGGTCGATCTCTGCAACCGCAAACAGGCATTAGCAGCATATTCTTAGGTTCAAATCCAAATAGGTAAAAAATTGTTCGCTTCCCTATTAGGACCTGCCATGATTTATGGATTGAAGAAGTATGGATCCATGGCAACCACTTCGATCGATCCTGCATCATGACACTATGAAACCCGCTGAGTTGAAGACACTGATTTCAGTGGTCAGCCAAATTTACATGGAGAGTAGGGAACCAAGGTAGTTGATATCTTAATTCTACTCCGTCAGTTTTGTTTGCTCTCTCTACTTTTGACCAATTTTCGAGGACCACATTCAATACTTCTTCAGAAATGAAGTGATGAAGAAATTGTTTTCAATTCTTTTCTGAGTGTTGCCAGGTTGTCCATTTCAGACTCCGTGAACTGCTAAAAGGATCGAACTGCGCTAGACTTTGCAGATTTTTGTTTGCACGTTTTGGACCAGACCGTTGTCGATTCTTCGAGTTCCCAAATTCAATAGAAAAGGTAAATATGACATCCTCTATCTTCTCCTTTTGTAAGTTTTTGTTGTCTTATATATATATTTATTTATTTATCTATTTAGTTATTGAATGTTTTCAACAATACCAAATATTTTCGATTACTGTCATGACTTCCGATCGCTTTGCTCAGTCAGATAAAACCCTGTTTCCAACGCGCAGCGAATTTTCAGTGCTTGATTCTTACTAATCCGGATTTGGATGCAATGTTCCTTATTCAATGCTCCAGTGAGACTTCACCTATTCTCAGCGTGCTTCTCAAAGAACCCGATCTCGTCGAGGATACACAGGATGAATCGAAGCGTTTTAGGTAAGCGTCGCCATCTTCTCCTCTAATTCCATTGAACATAGCCAATTGCAGGCAACATCGCCTAGATCTAGCATTTGATGACTTAGTTGCATGTGTGACAGCATTCTTGTGGACAGATCTGTTGCAAAAGCCACCAGGAACACATTAACAGAGAACATGTTAGAGCGTTGTAGTAGTTTAGAGCTCATAGTTAGTAGTCAGACAAATTTTTTGTTCAGATCAATTCAGATTGTTGCTGTGAAGTGATTATGGGTCCTAATTATGTATATTTTGATCTTCCAGATATTGTGATAGTTTAGTACATACTCTTTAGACCGATATACGATAAATGCGTCAGATCTGCCTTGTTTCTAATAAAGAAATTGGCTGTTACGTGAACTAGATCTTCATGACATTGCATCTCTTTGAAGAGTCCCGAGAAACTTCCGTCATCTAGTTTTTCACCTTATTCTCGGACCATTTCGGTGTGTTGAACGCGAATACAAACTTAAATTGCTGAATGTCAAGGGCTCTTTCTGAACTGACGAGATGAGCTGCAGCAATGGATTACCTGTGGTTTCTTGCCACATCTGCTCTTCAACGAGAAAATTCGTTTTAAAACCAGCTGAAATCGCGTCGGTGCATCTTTTCCAAAAAATGCCTAAGGGGAAAAAACCCTTTTCCAGCTCTTTTGGACCAGTCCCAGCGGCACTACTTTTAGTTGGCCCTAAAGCGGTTGGCGTTTTTCTTGCTAGAGAACTCTGCTGGTGAGAGAAGCCAAGGACGACAGCAAATGATACTCTCCCTTCCTAAAAGCAGAGGTTATGTTTTTTTCAAGCTATCTAGAGCTTATAAACGTTGAGCATATTGAAATAAAAAAGATGAAAAATTCGAGGTCTAAAATTATCTGAACATTGTCTTTATATTGATTACTCCGCCAATCAAAGAAATTTATATTCATTACTGCTGTAGTCGAAATGATATTGTACATCTACTTCATCAAACTCCGATCGCATGATTTTTTCCCTACACCAGTAAGATTTTTGTCCATCTTCTTTCGTTGTGGATAGCAAAGCAATACACGCGATTTTCGTACGGCATCCCAGGCAAAAATTTGCAGCATGTTTTTTGCCGACAAAGTAGGCCAAAGAACCACAAAAACAATCTCCTGCGCCCTCTATAATTTTTATAATCAGCAGAAATCTTACTGGTGTCAGTACACCTTTGCACAGAGAAAAATGAGTTTTACGAAGATATTGAGCAACTTCGCGACACCT